GCACACTTTCCACTTCTTCTCGGCTAAAATCTTGCACCACTCCTTCATTTACCTGTCCATTCTCTTATAAAGTGCTGGGGTTTTCTTTATTCAATAAATTTCTAAAATTATCTTTCCATCTTTCCTTGACCCTTTCGTAATCTTCTAATACCACTCCTTTATCATCTTTAATCAGTCTAATAGAGGTAAAATCTTTTGATGCCTTATCTCTTGCTTTGGCAATTCTCATCAACTGCCTTTCACCACCTTTCAAAAACTTTATAAGCCTCTTCTAAAGACTTTGCTTTTGCAATAGCCACCGCTTTTTTTTAGTTTTTTTTTTAGTTTTTAGTTTTTTTTATTTGCCAAATGGTAAGTTTATCTTCCGGTCTTCCCATCAAATCCCACCTTTTCTTTGCCTCTTTCTTTCGTTTAACTGCGGCTTGTACCTCAGCATTCCACCACCAAAGTTCCTTTCCTTCTGGCAATCTGTTCCTTGAAGTTTTTCCCAAAACCTCTTCTCTAACTTTCAAAATGCAATTACTATTCAGCAACCACCATGTTTGCACATCATCCAGGAACTGGATTTCTTTTAACACTTTTATCTTAAACTCTTTCCTTAATTCCTCTTTCAATCTCCACCATTTGATCCTTTGTTCACTCTGACTAACACAATTCTTACAATGGCCCATAAGAAAGCTACAATCCATCAGGAGAACTCTATTTTATGCAGCAACACTTTCACCATTAAATACCTTACTGTTTCTCACTTCACTCAGATGTCTCCTGCAGCACAAGAAAAAAAATCAATCTGGCTGGATCTACTTCCACTCATGTATGTAACCAGTTGATTCGCTTTCTTCTCAAAGTAGGTGTTAACTAGCGCAAGGTCAAAAGCCACAGCATGATCGACTAGTCTTTCTTCTTCTTCATTCCAACAGAGTTCGATAACTGCTGTGGTTTGAATATTAGAAAAAAAATATATATATATATATTTAGCCTTATAACAAATAGGGTTAGCGTCAGGAAGGACATCTGGCTGTAAAACCTATGCCAAAACTACATGGAATGTTGGCTAGACTACAAGTAAGTTGTATATTAAATCTGTGCTTTTTAAAGGATTAAAAGTAATAAAAACAAAATGTTCATATTTTGTACAAGACATTTTGATAGATAGAAGTTGAGTGGACAAATGATATAATTAAAACACATTTCATACAACCCTAAGTCCTAATACGAATAAAACACACCTTTAACAATCTAGCAAATAAATTATTTTAGTAACATAAAAATGTTTTTGACCGTTTTTTAATGATCTTCAGTTAACATAAAATAGAACGTAAATATGAAAATAAGAATTCACATCAGCAATTCTTTGTGAGTTGGTCTTACAACTGTAAAGCAAAATTCTACCCAAATTTTAGCACCTTATTTTGTATGCCAGATACGTCGATGATATATTCATCCTAAGGCAAAGAAAACCGAATTTACAACAATTTTTGGAGACGATCAATAATAACCCTTACTGTTTATTAGAAATATACCAGGAGAGTGAAAATAATGTAAATTTTTTGGACATTTCCATCATTGCAGATTAAGAAATCTGAACCAGCATATACAGAAAACCATGTTTCCAACCAACTTTAATTCTGCATAAATCGATCGATCTGCATCATATCAAGTTAGCGGCCTTTAGGTCCTGGATAAGAAGAGCTTATATGTATGTATTGTACAAACATAAAAGACACAATAACGGAGCTGAATTACATTTTAAGGATTGCTGAACAACAAGGATACTGAAGGGAAGTCATAGAGAAACTAATCACAACCTTCCAAACAACAAAACAACAGTATGATACGGTAGACTGAAAACAAAGGATAGTTTTAAATTATATTCCATTTTTAAGGCAAATTCACAAAAAGGCAGCCAAGACTAATAATTTGCAAGTGGTATATCAACGAAATCCTACAGTCTTCAAGCTCTTAAGAAATTATATGACTGGAAATCAGCCACAGGAATCTACTCTATACTGTTACACAACCAGCATTTTGATTTTGATCTTGTATATGTGAGTGCCACTATGCACAACTTGCAGCGTCTCAAGGAGCATAAATATACAATTAATAAGAACCTGGACAACACCACACTATCAGCTTATGCAAGTCAACAAGACATTCAAGTCCATTGGGATCAAGCAGCAATAAATAAACCAACAACAAATTTACACACAATAAAACATCTTGAAAGGTTAGAGATCTTTAAAACACACAAGAGAACTGGTTGCATCAACCATAGAGATGCGGATGCATTAACTACTGCATGACAGTCTTTTTACGAGAATTAACATTAATAAGAGCCATTGTTTATTTTAATTTAATTTTATTTTATTAAGTGACATTTTCAGCTTAATTTATATTATTTTATTGACCACAACTACATTTTTCATTATTTATTTTTATCTCAGAATTCCTATTTTCATGTTAACATAAAATAGAATGTAAACTGAAGAAGATTGTTAAAAAAACAGTCAAAAACATTTTATGTTACTAAGATAATTTGTTTGCTGAATTGTTAAAGGTGTGTTTTATTCATATTATGGTTATCCAGTATGTACATTATATTAAAGTCCTAAACTGAGCATCTAAGGAATCCTAAACTTACAACTTTTAAAATGGTGGTAGAATTCTTAGTCATATATTTATTAAATAAAAAGCCTTATTTTGTAGAATTAAAACTATCACAATTAAAAAAAATAAATACTCAAATGGACTAACTGATTTTATTAAATGTCCCATAATCTGTAGTGTTATAACACAATGGTATAGTGTACAAGCAGACATATCAGTCAAATATTATTAAAGTTTTGCACTGTTATAGTTTGTGATATTTTAAGTATTTTTCATATAAAAATATAGTGGGAATTGTATAAATTTATAGTGTTTTAGTATTGTGTATATCCAAAATTAAAAAGTCATGGCTGACAGAAGAGTTTTGGAGAAAAATGTATCAAGTAATTCATGTTTCTAGTGACAACGAAAGGACTGATACAAATGAAGGTACAAATTCATGCACTAGTGCTGTTTAAAATATTAAAAGAAAAAAGTTAAACCCTCCACATTAATGAGACTAGTTTGAATTAAATATTATTATTTGCTTTCCATTAGTAGTATTTTTTTTGCATTTTTAATTGCTTTTTAGTGTTTCTATTTGCAGTTTTATCTATAAACAATAAAAACTGTCAGGGTTCCAACATTTTTAACTAAGGCAAAAAAGGGTTCCGCAATAAAAATAAGTCGAGAATCGCCGATTAGTTTATTCTGACAGTTTGCACGGTTCGAGCATGTCATCCACAGAATGTCAAGTTTGACATTTTTAAATAGTAAAACTCTTAAGTGACGTAAACAAAAGTCACAAGAAAACTAAAAGTACAATAAAGCAGTGTCAAAAGTCCGGACTAAATTCCATCCGGATTTTCAAATACGTGTATAAATTAGCATTTTTAAGTACAGTAAACTCCAAATACAGTAAATCAAGTTTACATGTTCTGAATTCATACCAGTATTTCCCAAAGAATGTAATAATACTTAATGAACCAAAATATAATTTACAGAATCATTACATTTAAAGAAAAATTACACAAATTACGATTTCAGTTATAAAATTTACACGAAATGCGTTAATATCCATTTTTCGATGGCCGAATCCTGTTTTTTTGACGTTCGTTGTACAGTTGACCCTCCCTATAACACTGTTGATTTTTCCGTTTTATATGAATTCCATGTTGTACGAGTTACTTAGATTTTACAAATACGTGTGCCGGGCTATGAACAGCTCACGTATTTGTAAAATCTAAGTGACTCGTACAACACGGAATTCATATAAAACGGAAAAATGTACATGTAATTGAGCTGTCAGTGCAGTGTTTAATTTGCATTATTAGAAAAGTAGAATATTTTAATCCCTATTTTAGCAAGTTTCCACTTATTCCAGTTTATTAATCACACAATATTTATAATGAATTAATTAATTATCATTATTTATGAAATTTTATAATGTAAATTTTAAAAATTAGAAAAGCTTACTCCATTTTCCAGATTAAAATAATTCGTTTGGTTTTGCCGCTCTTCTTTAAAAATCAGTGTTGCCAGTTCTTTTTAATTAAAATTATTAAAATTTTATTTGGGTTTGCAACTTGTTTTAAATTAAAGTTTTCAAACGTTTTTAGTTATTTTTGATAGTTGTAATTTTTAAAATGATTTATAAATTACTGTAATAAATTTTTCTATTTTAAATGCAGATTTTAATTAATCAAATATAACTTTTTATTTCAATCTATCTGTTGTGTTTAAATTACTGTAAATACAATTAATTTTATCGAACTTATTTGAAAAAACTGTGAAACAAATCAAAGTTTTTTTTCGTAGTTTATACATATTGATGTTTTAGTTAAGGGCTGACATTTTATTTGTCTGTTATAAGGGGTCGACACATAAAAACGGTTGGAACTCTTATTAGGGTCGAAGTTACGTTTCATCGGCATGTTTGTTATCTGATTTTAGTGCCTTTTTTAAAAACTTTCTCTGCCCTGTGGGCAGCGGCGAGGCAAGACCTAAATTTGATGTGGGCAAGGTACATTTCGCGAGGCCCCCTGGTGGCTCAAGAAGACTGATTTTATAAAATAAAAAGCAGTTGAAACTGTCAAATTTTTATTCCTAAAAATGCAAACTATATTCTTTAACTAACATTAAAAAAAATTAAAGAAACAGAAATTTCCTGCTTTTAGCCTTACTGAACACCTTAATAATTGTATCGTAATTCAGCTTATATGCTATACTATATATGCTTCAATAGATAAAAGTGCGAAAGGTAAAAGTCTTTCCTGACCCATTGTATTTCTTAAATAATTTTTTATTAGTTTTAATTTTGAAAACCTCCTTTCAGCGTAGGCAGTACTTACCGGTATTGTTAACAAAATTCGAACGGCAATGTAAATATTTGGGTAAATTTCTTTCAAGTTATTTTATGTTATGTATTGGAGCAGCTGTTTCACATCTTTAATGAAGTTGGGTAAATTTGGGATCATTGTTTGTAATTCTTCATATAATTCGTAAGGTTGTAAGTCACTGCTCTCACTCACTCGCAGGACTGAGTGTAAATCTTGACAGTTTTTTAATATTTGCTCTTTTGGAATATTTTTTAACTTGCTTAGATCATAGAGAAAACCAAAATTTTCAAAATGTTGATTTAAAGACATAAATCCTGAATCCATATTGCTTATTATAGAATCAATCGTGGTGTTAAAAAAATCTGTTTCATACCTGCTTTTGGGAGACTGTATAGGTTGATCGCTGCCTTCATCATCGAACATCCTTTTCTTTTTGGCTACCCTTTCGTTTTTAAAGTCTTTTGGCAGTTCATAACTGCTATTCTCAATAAATTGACGAGCGTCAGACAAGCATTTTTCGAATCCAGTTTGTCGATATTCTTTGATCCAGTCACAAAATGTACGCAAATGTTCAAGAGCATTGCTTAAATGGACTTGTAAAGATTGCCATAATTTGCTTATGATATTAACACGCGATAATATCTCATACCATACATGTAATGATATGATAAATTCTAAACTGAGCATTTCGTTTAAAACCGAATCATAATCACTGAGTGTGTCTGATTGTTCCGTTTGATTTTTTAAGCTTTCGATGCATTCAACATCAAATTGCAGTAATACGGCCTTCAATCCCTCGATTCTGCTTTCTCACCTTGTGTCTGATAAAGGCTTCAAAGTAAGCTTTAATTTGCCTTTGATTAATTCCCAGCGTTTGCTGGAACTTGAAAATAGCAAATAAATTTTCTGAATAAAACCAAAAAATGTTTTTGCTGCCACAGAAGAATTAGCTGCGTCTACCAACAGTAGATTCTAACTATGACAACCGCAGAGTGTAAAAAATGCCTGGGATTAATATTTAATATTCGAGTTTTAACTCCACTATTTACGGGATACTTTACTGCGATACTTTGATTGACTTTCTAGCTGTTGAGAATCGTGAAAGTAACGTAAACAAACACAATGGGAAATCCCCAGCTTTGGCTGGCAAGGATTCCCCGCGATAGCAACCCAACGCCAGCAAATGTTGCTAGACAAATAAAAACAAATTTGGTATGTCAGTATATTTATCGTTTTATGACGAGTAAAATTTTTTCGTTAAGTTTACGGCTTTTATGTAATGCATAAACCTTCGAAGCGCGAGGCCCCTCGGACAGCGAGGCCGCAGGCGGTGGCCCACGTCGCCCACGTCTTACGCCGCCTCTGCCTGTGGGCACTAAGATGGCCTCTTTTAGCAAGCCCATTGTGAGTTCGGCCAGGCCCACAATGGGGCGGCCGGGTGGTGAGAGATGGGGCCCGACATATCCGGACGGACCACCCCCGTTTGGATTCGATTCCGGGTCCCTCGGAGCGGTAGACTATCACCTTGACCGCTCGGTCAAAGACTCTCCACACCAAAAGATCCTTATTGATTTCTTTCACGCCGTTTAACAATACTATATAACTACTTTCATTTGTAATTTAAATTTTTAGGGTCAATTAGGTGTATGTTATTCGCTATTGAACTATATTATAAAGATATAAGAAGCTTAACTAAAAGCTTCTTATATCGAAGATTTTGACGGCGGATGGCAGCCTCCCGCTATGGATGACCCGGGATCGAATCCGAACGGGACGAAAAATCTCCAGCAATTTTTCGGGGAGTGGTCCGTCCGGATATGTCGGACCCCGTCCCTCATCACCCGGCGCCCCATTATGGGCCTGGCCGAACTCATAATGGGCTTGCTTAAAGAGGCCCTCTTAGTGCCCACAGGTGGAAAGAGTTAAAAATTTATATATATATCGAAGATTAAGTGTGCTCTCTCGGTTGTAAAATATTGTAATAGTCTCAAATTAAATACTTTTTTTGTTTTGCGAATATCGATATTTGAGACTCACTGAATCCAAAAACACAGGAAAAACTTTTTGTTTGTGTGTGTTGATATCTATTTCGTTTAATATCTCAGGATGGGGTAAAGATTAAGAAACGAAATTTGGCGTGGTAACTTCTATATCATGGGCATTGATGCTATTAAATTTCGGAGTATGGAACTCGAAGGAGTTATGTTTCGTATCTCGAGTGGGGTTGAACTTAATGAAAATTTTACTCGTTATTCGCATTTACAATATTTTTAAAAACCCATCTCTACCCAAAATTAAGTTTTTTTTTTTTAATAATAATTAATAATATAAAAGTAATTTTTTAATAAATCTCAAACAGATGTCGCCACATAGAATTTTAACTTTGAGCTGAGGTTAGTGTTTTTTTGGTTAATGTCCAGATACGTGGACTGTCATGGCGGCACTTCCTGTTTCAGCCTCGAAACCGGACCGGTTTGGAGACGACATGTCACGTGACGACGCGGCGAACGGCGGCGGCTGCTGCGCCGCGGCAGCGTCGGCGGCTGTCATGGTGTCTCATCGCTGATTCCAGCAAACAAAAGGAAACAGTGGGGACGCACGTTCTAACCTAACCTAATCTAATAATATAATTGGTAATAATTATGATAATTTATTACAATAGGTTAGGTTAGGTTAGAACGTGCGTCCCCACAGTTTCCTTTTCTTTGCCGGAATCAGAGGTGAGCCGCCATGACAGTCTACGTTTATGGACGTTAACCCGCGCGTCGGTTTTCCCCGTTTATCGCGGCGCAGGAGCCGCCGCCGCCGTTTGCTCGCGTCGTCACGTGACATGTCGTCTCCAAACCGGTCCGGTTTCGAGGCTGAAACAGAAACTGCCGCCATGACAGTCCACGTATATGGACATTAATCAAAATTTTATTTAGCACTTTATATAATATAAAGTTAAGTGTATTTCCACTTGAGCGTGCTGTGGCGTGAGTGGAGAACCGGTTCGACTGCGGTGTGAGTAGGACGTAAAATATCGCGCTCTGCAACTGTCGAAGATCAAAGTTTACGTGGCGAAGCCCACTGTTCTTTATGTGATCAAGATATTTTACGGTTATTGAATTTTCCAAATGACACGGACCGGAGGAATACGTTACTAATAATTGTGGACCCCGGAAACGGACCCTACGACATTGAAGATTTTGTTCCTTCACTGAGTAGTATTATCGACCTGAAAGACATCGTCCACTTTGGTGCCAGTGTAGTGACTCATGTTTACATTGATGACGGAAAATAGCGCAAGTGCCCTACTGAATTTGAGAGAAATACAAGTAAAAGGTAGGAAATGTCGAATTATTCCTATAGAAAACCGGAAAGTGGTTATTAATATACATTGGCTACCGCCAGTATTATCACACTATCTGGTTAATAGACACTTTATAAATTACGGAAGAATTTTAAAGTGCGAATTTTTAAAATCGTCGGTGCCTGGGTTGGAGCATGTCCTTATGAACAAAAGGCGAGTATGGTTAGAGCTCAAACAGGGAATCAGTACCGAAGATTTGCCGTATTTTATAAGGGTGAAAGGTATGACTGGATCGGTTGTCATTGCGGGCAGACCACTACTATGTTATCGATGCAAACAATTTGGTCATATCAGAAGAAACTGTCGCGAACAAGTGCAAAACATGTAAAAAATTTGGTCATTCAACCGAAAAGTGTATTGGAAAAACGTATGCTTTGGCAACAACAGTCGAAAACACGTGGTGTGGTGATGTAGACAAAGAGCCAGAAAACAATAAGGCAGCAGGGGAGGAGACAATGCCAACGTTATCAGCAACGACGAAGCCCGCATCGTCGTCTTTAGTCAAACAAAACAACAAAGAAGAATTTAACAGGAAACTACTAAGCACTGACGAGAGACAAAATTTGTCCGGAAGTGAGTCATCGCCCGAAAGCCCTCCTGATAAACAAAGGAAAAAGCATAGGAGGAAAATTAAGGCTACTCCATCGATTAAATATAATGAAGTCAGGCCTAGACTAGACACTCAAAAAGGTTGTGACATGGCAGACATTGTCGTAACTACGAATAAATTCGAAACCTTAAACACAATAAACCAAGAAAAAATGGAATGCGAAAATTTAATGACATCAGACGGTATTCTTTCAGGGATAAACGAAAATGTCCACACAACGGTTACTAACAAACAAGAGGTTATGATTGTTCCCCCAAGATGCGAAGCAAGCTATGCATCATAATGGTTAATGTAAACGGGCTCAACGTTCACCACAAACAGGACCTTTTAGTACAGTATCTGTTGCAGAAAAACATAGACGTGGCTCTATTGCAAGATACTAGACTTGGTGACAACTGGAATGCTACCGTGTTTACAAATAAAATAGACAGTCATTTTAACTCTGTCTGGTCGAATGTGGAGGAGTGGTTATTTTACTTAAAAAGGACCTTGAGATCATGCACACCTCCAATGATAACGAAGGGTGTATATCTATGTGTGATGTGGCTTGCTGTAGCGAGGTGGTGCGTATTATATCGGTGTATCTCCCAGCGAATAACTCGAAAAATCGGTTGGAATTCCTTCCTAAACTGGAACAGCTACTGGATGTCCCTTATGAGATAATCATAGGGGGAGATTACAACTTTGTAGAATCGGAACAGGACAGAATTGGCTCAACTGCAAATGAGCCAGAGAAGAAAAGATTCAAGCAACTAAAAGCAAGGCATTATTTGACTGACATATGGTGCCACGTATTCCCAAACAGAAGAGAGTACACCTATCATCAGAACAATGCCCACTCTCGGCTAGATAGGTTTTATGTATCTAAGGGCATTACCGCTTGCACAATCTCTTCAGAAATAGAACCGTCCTACCTATCCGATCATAGCCTCGTCAAATTAGGGGTTGATTTCTCTCTACAGGAGAAACTCGCTCAAGATAGATGGACATATTGGAAATTTAACGCTACCTTACTCAGGGATGTTGATTTTCTTGCTGAAACGACAACCCAAATATTGAATCAAAAAGAGGAAAACCCCTTTAAATGGTGGCAACAAATTAAAAGTAAAATCAAAAGAACTGCCATTCAAATCGGAGCGCAAAGGAAGGCAGAAGCGAGATTGCATCGTCTGAAGTTAGTTGATGCACTAAAAGAAGCATATGCAAAAGAAATACTACACCCGGGAAGTCACATCGGTGAAATCGAACAGGCGAAACAACAATTGAGGCTGATGCAGGAAAAAAAATTAAAAGGTGCCTTCATTCGTTCCTGGGTAGAGCTTAACAGCATGGAAGGCAAACCAACTAAACACTTTTATCAGCTTGAAAAGAAGTGTATTAAACATAAAGCGATAAAGGAACTCAACATAAATGGTACTATCTCCACTGACAAGGAAACTATACAGTCTCATTTCGTAAACTACTATAAAGAACTGTTCTCAAAGAAAATTTATTTCCCTGATGCCTGAGTTGTCGCATGACGAAAGCAAGTCACTAAACAAAGACATCACGTACAACGAGTGTCTTTTAATCGTAAGGGCGATGCCCAACAATAAAGCACCGGGCCCTGACGGCCTACGTGTGGAGTTCTACAAACAGTTTTTCCCACTCATTGGCAACAAGTTAGTGGAAATGCTTAACTCCATCATATCTGAAAATCAGGTGCCAATAAACTTCAGCCAAGGG